CACATTGGCTCCGGTGACCATGTTGGGCTTATCATAAGGCTTGCCCTCTGCTTTTCTCTTTTGCTGCCACTTTCGTTTAAAAGCTAGGCCTGCCAACATCATCGCCTCTGAAGAACCAACAGTTCCCACTCCAACAGCAGTTTCGCCGTCTCCGAGGGGAGCATTAAAAAGGTTTGCTATTATATTCACACAACGATTCTACACGAAGGAAAAAAAAAAAAAAAGTAAAAAACTGTAATAATCGACAGGAAATTAGAAAAATTAAACTTGATCACAAGATTAACAAGAAATTTCAAACAGAGCTGGGACTATAGTTTCTTTCAAGCACCAAATCTTTTACCAACTTGCAACTAGTAACCAAAAATTTGCTACGTGTTACCAAAATAATTAAAAGCAAATTACGCAAACATAACCTACAATTCTCCCAAACTTGGGAACTGAATAACCTTGTAGGGTAAAACCTTATTTGTATTATACACATTATATACATGTATTCAAGTCCTTGTATATTTGTGTTTATCGTATGTGCATGTAGTGTAGTTGTGTGCCCGTAATTTTTGGCCCGTGCTACACCCAATGCTCCGCCCCTGTCCTCTCCTCTGCTATGATCCATATCTAGAACGCAATAAATAGCATGTGGCGTTGGAAACCAAAAAGAGGAAATGCTGGCTTGTAACTTTGTGCTTAACCGCATTTATCGTGAGGGCAAGGGTTGTAATTTCATGGTTAAATGTATTTATTCTTGCTGATGAGGTTTTAGGTCTGATGTTACAATTTGAGGCCACGAAGCCAGTCGAGTCCATTCCATGCGTTGAATCCTCGGATAAGGTAATTCCCCTTATTCTATAGTGTTAATCCTTAAAAAATTGGACATTTGGGCACCGTATGGATGCCCAGCTAGCCAAGTTCCTGACAATATATATTCTATAAATAAATTTGGGACCCACATGAGTAATGGCACGGACTCTTGAATGAATGAATATACGACACGCAACGCAACGCTGTTGACTTCTTAGATCTTGATGGAGTGTGTGTAGCTGGTAGAGTAACTTAACAGTATTGTAAAGTAGATTTTAATTAATTAAAATAATAAAATAATAAAATAATAAAAATGATATGGATGGAGGAAGATGATGAGAGCAGAGCAGAGCAGACCTGGAGTTCAGTGGTAACAGGGTACTCATCCATGTCGACGTAGTTTTTGTTGAGGGAGGCCATGATGAGCTGATCGCACTCTGGCTCCATCCACGTGGTGACAAATGATGCCAAGTTGAGCCTGGGGTTCCCATCCAGCATTAGCTCATCCTTTATTATCTGATACGCTGCGTCCTTGGGTATCGACGTCTCCGGCATCTCGAACTTAGGGAGGGCGTTACGCGCATATCTCGATGCAAACGTAGAGTTCACCTGCCCTCCACGCTCACTGCTCGTCGTTGAGATCACCATCTTCCTTTCTCTTTCTCAAGGCCTCGACTGAGCAACTGAGAGAATTTGATGTTCCTTATATGAATATACGCTCTCTTTGCTTTCTTTGCTTTGCTTTACTTTCTGGTTGGTCTTATCGCAAACTTTATACATAGCCTAGGCAAGGAAAAGAATAACATAAATGAGGCAGGGTAGTTTAGGAAAATTCAAACGCCAAGCAACTCACACGTAGTCGTAGAGCAGAACAAGGACGCGTACTGAAATTGGGTAGCCAAGTTGCCCAATTTACCCATTCATCATAATAATTTTCACTTGTTTTGTTTTTTGTCCACCTCTGTGTCGGCAGAACGTCGTTTGGAACACGTGCACTTCATTCATTGGCCAATTCTTTTTTATTTAGGCACCACCACCAGTCAGTCACACTCTCTCCCCACCCCCACGATGACGAGAGTGAAGCCCATGTGGCTTCAGGCCTTTGCTTAGGGGGACCGCTGATGAGAGTTACCTCTCACCTTTCAGTTCAACCCCAATTACAATTTTGTAGCAAGACTAAACCATGTTATATACTTTGTGTTTATTAGGTTTGATATTATTTGCAACCCTTGATAGATGTAGAATAACCAGTCTAACGATCAGTAGATAACATGATTGGAATGGAAGCTGCCTGCTGGTGAATAACAAAGTTGAATACTTGAAATCTGATTCATCTTTGAGTTTTGCAAAATGTTTGAAAACGGAAAAGTTTATCGTTCAATACAACAAAACGGAAGCAATGAATGGATTATGGACCCCATCCCCATCCCCCAGATAAAGATGGGATTGGATGGGATCGGATAGCCTGTTGTTAGCCAGCCAATCGTCTTGTACCAAAATGGTTTTGGCTCGCTTAAAAGCAACTATAATTAATAAATCAAGCAAGCAACGCAAGCAAGCAAGCAAGCAAGAAACAAAGTTGACTGACTGGTGGACGCGAAGATGCGGTTGCCTCCTCCTCCTCCTGTCCTGAGCACGCTGCACACGCAATTCTCTACGTCTATGTTTTCAAGATGAATTGTTTGTGGCTGTGGACCTTACAAGGATGACCCCTTTGACCCACAGTTGTGCTTTGTAACATGATGAGCAGGCAGTTTTAGTGGTGTCAAGTCCAACCACTCACGCATTCACTCACATCATCAAACTTACAAATATCACACACAAAATTATGACCCAGCCCACAACCACCAATGAAATAATTGAAAAAGAGAATCAAGACGATGAAGCCACTGTCCCCCGTCGTAAAGGTTAAGGGCCCTACCGTTCCAACTGGCTAGCCAGCCACAAAACTCAGATGCAAAAGGTTTTCACTTGTGATCCCAAAATTACTTACTTACCAGTTGGTAGTTTGCAACAAAACCAAGGGTGTCAATATTCCTTTCTGCTGAAATTATCGGTCTGACTGATCGGTATAAGATAAGAGAGCGTGTCAGAACTGGACAAACAAGGGAAAATTTGCACACATGAGAAACTATCTAAATGAAAGAATTCGCAGGAATGAAATATTTATGCATACATGACTCACTTGAAATTATTTTAGGGGTTTGCCACCATTCATGATGAGAACTCTTGTTTTCTCTTTCTACAGGCAATGCGAGTGCCGGATGATCTCATCTGCACATGCACATCAATGGAGACAAGGCAAGCCAAGTACAAAATAAATAAGCAACGGTACGAGCCACAATTGCCTGAGCTTTGTATCCACAGAAACAAAGTAAAACGTATGCATTTGATTTGATGTGATTAAAACCAGGTCAAATTCCAAATCAAATGCAAGATCATCTAGAGTATATATCTGTCTTGTCCAAACCAAACAAGGCAACCAAGCTATTGCTTTATGATTTCCTGATTGCTAATAAACCACCTTCGTTTGGTTCAACTCCCATTTAGAAAAAAAATGAAACTATACAACGATTTTGAATGTTCTGGTTTGACCTATATTATCCTGGCATCTTATTCCATTGACATGAAAGATGTACTTATCAAGTGCAATTACTGGAGTAACAAAGTAACGATTGAGGGCAATTCTTTGATAGAGAAAGTATGCAAGCATGCAAGATTATATTACCCGAGGATCAGCACAATCGGAATGAGAAGAACAATCCGGGTCATCAGTTTGGACTTCAGACAATGGAGCCCTGTAACATTAGAACTAGTTACAAGCTACAACAACAGATGAACTATCCCAGTCATGAGTTAGGACTAAAGATGGTGGATCTATCATTCAAAATTCAGTGTGTCATAATGTCTGGATAAACTTACTTAGTGACTTGTTCAAAATCATAAGTTTGTATATAAAAAAACCAAATTGAATAAAGACATACACATTAATTTGATCACACCATTCAGGAACTTGAGCTTGAAATGCTTCACCGAGCCGAACCTTAGACGTATATGGCTCTGGGTACTTTAGCATGACTGCAATTGGACCCAATTCAAATTTACATGAGCCAATCCCCGAACCGATGCTAGGTGATTTAATGAAAGAATTATTCTGTGACATTTTCAAACAAGAAGGACAAAACCACTCGTCAATTGGCAAAACCACCCTGGGTTTGCAGCAAGATACATGAAACGCCTCTTCGCAACGATCGCAAAGTAGCATATTGGCTATATTTTCTGAATGACCACACAGCTTACACAACTGGATATCTCCACCAAGACTATCAGTTCCCAAAACTTGAGCTGAACAAGGTTTGTGAAGGGAAACAATTTTGATCCCATAACTTTGAAGTACAGAAATGCAAAGGTGGTTTTTACCCATTTCAACTGAATCCGGGAATGGGATAGTGCTCTGAAGTACCATTGGCATGGCAAGTTGTAATCGCACTCAGCAACTCTCAGGTCTCAGCCACACCCAAACTACAACGCTTCTGCAACCCTTTTCGCCAAACAATTCCACCTTTTCTGCATAAGAAAATAAAAATGAAAAACACCACCACAAGCACAACATTGACATTAGTACATGAGAAGCTAACCAGCTACTGCAATATATAGGAAATTCCTTTATCCAATTTCCATCTAACAAATGAATTCGCAACCGTAGATAACAAAATTACATTAAATTTGAAATTCCTTTATATATGACCATGCTTGACCGTACGGATAAAGTCAATAAACCAGATGAATTCAAGTTTCAGAACGGAAGAAAACCTGTTCAATTCAAGTTTCAGGACACTGTATTGATAAAAAAAAGGAGGAGGAATTAATTTACCACTTACCAGATGTATCAGTCGAGAGTCGCTACCTCTGTCTCTTGGTTTCTTTCTTCTTCACTAAAGACTAAAATGGCAACGAAATCGCTTCGACTTTCAAATCAGGCGGGCGGCGAATTACGCAATAAATACTCATTTTCAAATGAAGGCCCTGCCCGGTAAACGTAAATTTCAAATTTGCTAAGGGCGGCTGCTCCAAAAACTCCCGCAAATTTTATTACGATTAGGAATTTCCAAATTATCAAAATTTCGTATCAGAAGAAAGAAATTGTCAAAATGCTAAAAAAATAATAAAATTTCGTAGCAGAAGAAAGAAATCGTCTAGCTCTCAGGTTAAACTCTTAATTTTAAAAAATTTTAAAAATAAATTAAATCCAGACTTTATTAAGTAATTTATGAAATTAAATAAAATACTTTAAATACTAATTATTCATTAAATAAGGCTAAGATATTACTTAATTGCAAATATTAAACTAAACAAACTAATTTTGTATAAAATAAAATAAAAAACTAAGTCCACAAAATAAATAAAAATAATTAATTAATATTTATTAAGTAATTTATGAAATTAGTTAAATACTAATTATTCACTAAATAAATAATAATTAAAATATAATTACCAACTAAAGTAATTAAAAAAAGGCTATAAGTAAACACCATTTTGTGAAGTATAGCCGATCGGCTATACTTTTAAAATATTCTACTACATTTATAGAGTATAGCCGCGCTGCTATACTTTTAGAACATTGGTATATATGTCCAGAGTACAGCCAAACGGCCAATTTGAATCCAATTCAAATGTGAGGTAATTAATAAGAGATGGATTGAACTTCTTAATCTGATAATATGATTACAATTCGAATCCGATAATTAAATTATAAATGGATAGAGATATATATTATAGTTCATCTGATCCGATAATAATTTGATTTGACTTAGTATGAATTATAATTTAGTTTTTTTTAGGATTTATATTAATAACATGTACACATATAAAATAGGGAGTTTCACTAAAACACCCAAAATGGAAGTTGAAATTATAAAAAAACCCAAGCACTATTTATACATATAAACACACCCAAAACCCATCATTACACACACTCAAAACCCATTTATAAACACACTCAAAAAGTTGACTTTGTGGTTGATTTTGGGTGTGTTTCTATGTTTAAATAGTGCTTGGGTTTTTTTATAATTTCAACTTCCATTTTGGGTGTTTTAGTGAAACTCCCTATTTTATATGTGTACATGTGCAATTTTAGTTTTATATGCACTAATAATACACTTAAAACTAATTTTTCTTGGATAAAATATCAAAATTTGATATAAAAAGTGGATAAATACAATAAAAGAACGAGACTACTAATGAAATTTTGATTTTTTGTACATCATAAAATAAATCAGATAATAATCCAATCTGATATGAATTGATAGTTGCAATCCGATAATCCAAATATGATCCGAATTCGATAATCCAAATATGATCAGAATTCGATACTTCAATTTTAAATGAATTCGGATTTTGATTGATGTATATCTTATTCGAATATGACTCGTTTACAGGTCTACAACCAATGTTTCTTTCATCCCCCAAAAAAAGTGTTTCTTTCTAATAAAAATAATTTAAAAGTTTGTTCATTATAAAAATATTGTTTTAAAAATTTCAGAATTACATTAATTTTTTAAAAAAGTGAAAGAAAAAAAAAGGGAAACCCACAACACCATGGGACTGTTAACAGTTGCAGTGGCATTCTATTTGTTTGTCTTAAGTTCTTTTATTTTTTAAAATTTACAGATAATCAAAATAATTATTTTATACCTAACAAATTTGTAGTTATTATTGTTTTTGGTTACAACTCTTTTTAAAAAAAACAATTTGGCTGTTAAAATTTGATTGGGTTAGTTGGGTTAAGATTACTTTATCTAAAAATTTGAATAAGATATTTCGACCAAAAAAATTTGAATAAGAGAAAGTTTCTTTCCCATAAAAAAAGACATAGATTAAATATTAAAGAAAAGCTTGGGAGGGAACCGGGCAACTTGAACAACAGGTCTCACTTTTCTTAAAAAATGTGGGTGCATCGGTACACCAGGTGCACCGTAGAAGGTGCCATAGATCTCGACGTGACCATGACAGCATTGTTCAAGTATGATAGTTTTCTCAGATAGCAATTGATGGGAGAGACCCCAATGCAGGTGCTGTTGAAGGGTGTGGGTTGCCAACTTGGGTGTACTTGGCCCGAGAGAAGACACCCCAGTATCACCATAACTTCAAACATTAGCAATGGGAATGTCATTCTTAAGATGTGATAACAGGGCTATCGATTCAATGCCGTGATGGAAATCAAGCTTTCTTAGGATTGGCTCCAACCACACTGCCTCACACACTTATGCAGCATAAGAGATAGTCACCACAAGGTTCTCGTCAGATTTTCCTTTCTAAGTACAGTCCGGCTTGGTATGGTCATTGCAAATAAAGCTAAGATAATACTTAATTGCAAATATTAAACTAAATAAATAAAAATAATTCATTACTATTTATTAAGTAATTTATAAATTTAATAAATTATTTAAATACTAATTATTCACTAAAGAAATAATAATTAGAACATAATTTCTAATTAAAGTAATTAGAGTAATTAAAAAAGGCTATAAGTGAAAACCATTTTGTGAAGCGGCTATACTTTCAAATATTAGAATACATTTAAAGCGTATAGCCAGGCAGCTATACTTTTTAAATATTCGTATATATCTAGAGAATACAGCCGAACGGCTATACTCTGAATATTAATTATATAAACGTAAAGCCGCTCGGCTATACTGTAACTGTTAAAGTACGTTAACACTTAAAGAGTTAACTTAGCATTGTAAAGTAGATTTCAATTCATTTTAATAAATATAATTGAAAATTTTTATTAAAAAATAATATGTAATTCACTATCACAATTTTACGATCATACCTATTTATGAAAGATTGTGATAGAATTTTAATTTGTCTAAATATAAATCAAATTACAATAGGCAAGAGAAGTAAAAGTTATCTGTGTTGACAAGGTTTAAAAAAGGAAAAACAAAGTCCATAAAATAATTTAAAATAATTAATTACTATTTATTAAGTATTTTATGAAATTAGTAAAATATTTAAATACTAAATATTTACTAAAGAAATAATAATTAAAACATAATTACTAACTAAAGTAATTAAAAAAGGCCATAAGTAAAAACCATTTTGTGAAGTAGAGCCACAGACTTTTAAAATATTCTTATATATTTAAAGAGTATAGCCGCGTGGCTACTTATTTTTCTTACACGAAACACACAACTCAGAACAGAAACAACAATTATACATCCATTTTCACAAACCATACACCATTAAAGCACAACGAAATACAAACCTCCTGCAATTATCTTATTTGATATGAGATCGTTTCTTATGCATCATTCAGTATACACTGATTGAGAATTTTGATCTCATCTCTATTAATAGAGCACTGGACTCTTTTCTTTGCTTTATTTCGACACTAGAACATTTTCCCGATACGATCGCGGGGAACAGAATCTTGGACATCCATCCGACGCCAATTTCCCAATGATGGAGCCATCTGCTCTACCTTGTCAAACAACCCAAGTAACCCACCTGTGTGTATGAAGAGGATCTTTCTTCCTTCCCACTTCTTTGTATTCCCAGCCATGTCTTTCAACATTCCATAAGCAGCTTTGCCACTAAAAAAGGAATGACATCATAAATCAGTGATCCCATTATTCGGCAGAAGAGAAAAGCGAGAGAGAGAGAGAGAGAGAGAGAGAGAGAGAGAGAGTTGCGGATCATACTTCAGGATTAACTATGAATAATTTAACCATTTATCCTCCTAAAGGGAAGTGATGGCACAAAGATGGAAACATAAACAGAGAGTTGTGGAAATAAAACACAACCTGTAAACTGGATCCAGAACAATCCCAGTGGTCGCAGCAATCTCCGTGACAAACTTAAGCTCCTCAGACGTGTTTATTGCATAGCCCAGACCTCTGGCCTGTCAAACCACAATACATTTACTTCCTTTTTTTGTGCTTACAATATATAATTACTTACAATTGATCAGCATATACATTGTGTGGAAAACTATATGCACATCATCTCATAATGGTAACATATGAATAGTTACAATTTACAACCCATGATTTTCCAATCTAGGATTTCATTTTTCTGTAGAGGATGCACATGTACAACTTGTATAGTGTAGGCAAACTACTGTAAGATCAACCTTAAAATAACATGTAGTACCAAGCAACATAAATCATGTGTTCGATGCTAACAATATAGTGTCTAATCTGCTTTGACCCTCACATTTTGAATGTTAACAATATCACGTGAATCAACGCCTGCCTCAAGTCCATCAAGTAGGCCTTGAACATACTCGTAGAAGTAATCAGGGTCATCACAGACAGAAAAGGCATGGACCTGCAGAGCAAAAGGAACAAATAATTACATGACATGTCAAGAGCAGCAAATTAATTATCTACAGAAAGGAATCCAATGACATACTTTTGCCTTCAATGAACTCAGCCAAGAGCCCAATGCCAAACCAGCAATTGTACCCCCACTGGAAATCGATTACATGAAAACATTACAGATGGAAGTAATAATAATAATCACGATCACCATAAACTTATTCTATTATGTTACAGTATTATACTCGTAAACATGTAAGATATAATTCATTTTCCATTTGTAGATTATAGAAAAGTTTGGTTTCGTGAAAAACATAAAAATAAATTTGCTAATACTCCAAGAGAGAGAGAGAGAGAGAGAGAGAGAGAGAGAGAGAGAGATGTACAGTCTCTATAGCTCTGTTCTC